CCGCTCCAGAAACCCCGTGACACGTCGACCTAAACCTAGCCGGGAAGAGCTCCGCCGGCACGATGAAAGTGGTGGTGTTAGGCCCAAAGTTTGAAAAGAAGAAGGTTAGCCCATACAGAACCATGAACAACCAGTTTGTGTGATGGTACCAATATTTATCATAAGGACCACCTAATGAGAAGAGGAAGATTGCCATGAGGAAGAAGCCCATCATCTGAATCTTTCGTCGACCCATGCGATCAATGAAGTAGACCGTGGCCCAGTAACCTGGAATCGTCGAAGTTATAGCCATGATCGCCTGGAATTTTGCGATGTTTATCGCCTCTTGATATGCGTCTACTTTCTCGCGGTGGTTTCAAACCGGACTCGCGTAGATTTGGACTGTAGAGCGTGGCTGCGTAGAAGGGGATATCAACAATGAGCCACGTCATGGCACAGGCGAAGAGATCGCGACCGTGGTTATTCAAGAATTCCTTTGAAAAAAGTCCGTAAGATTTCTTCGGTACAGGCGAATTAACGGTTTCTGACTCTTCGTCGATTATATCCAAATCAGGGTTCCTGAGAACCCTCGCTATGTCCCTTTTGGCTTTGTTCACATCATTCTCTACCAAAGCAGTATATCTAAAAATGAAGATATAACATAAGGTCTCCATTAAGAAAAGCATTTTGTTATTTAATCAATTGCATACCTTGCGGTTTCTGGCATGCTCATTCTCCAATAAAACGTAAGCGCTGCAGGAATCGCTCCGACCATTAGTATAGTCCTCCACAGTATATCGGCTGCATCCGTAGCGATGTGCAACGTGGTGACATGACTGCTTAGCTTGCATACTGAAACGCTACCGCGCGCAAGCCATCGTCACTGCCCCAGAGCTCGCCAGAATCCCGAAACCCTGCATCGAGAACACCGCGCAGATGACTGATCCCAGTGTATGTTTGTTCGCAACTCTGACATGGCTGGTGCTGAATAACGGATAGTCACCGCAATCCCCACCCCAAGCCAAAACCTAAAGAAGCATAGACTAGTCAACATACATTTCCTCGTCCGACATATTGAGAACCCTGACGCAACCGAGCTAAAGACCATAATTAAGAGGCATAAGCCGTAAACTCTCCTTCGTCCAACACGGTCACCAAGAACTCCGAAGACTAGTTGACCAACAACGGTGCCCATAAGGGCTATAGCAACGACGACGGAGACAACAGCAGGGGAGGTGACACCTGGCTTTCCGTCATGTTCGGGATAGTAAACCCTACCGATGAGCTTCATCACCGGCGTGATGCTGAAGAGATCATAAGCGTCGGTGAATAGCCCCATGCCTGAGACCATTATGGCCCTGAAATGGTAGTACTGCGTTCGAGCGTGGTCGAGAGTAACTAGGACTTTGAGAGCCATGTTTTTCTTCTGAGGGATGCAACATTTGTTGGCGATGATTATGGTATAAGTAAGATGGATGAAGCTAATTTTAAAATTAAGGGTGATGGTGATTTAGACTTGTCAAATTCGAAATGGCTAAGCAACTAGGGCGTAGCCTTGTTAGATGCTAGAAAAGATCCGAATATGCAAGTTATGTATATATCCTATGATAATGACCTGGGAGAAGCTGAAGAGGGGAAATGGACAACGTGAAGATGATTGTTTGTGGAGTAATGAACATCATGAAGAGTTCTTAATAACTACATGTTATTGGGTTATGTTGACCACAATAGAAATTTGAGTTGACTAGATATCAATTTCAATTTACACAGAGTTTGTGCAAAGCCGAAAGCGTGTGGTCCCATGGTCTAGCGGTTAGGACGTTGGACTCTTAATCCGTAACCAAAGTACAAACCTCATACACAATCTTCTTTTATCATATCATATCATATCATACTTACTTTCTTTAAAAGTACGAGTTCGGGAAAATGTTTTCATGACCAATATTACCCTTAATTTTTTTAAATATTATATTATTATTCTAATCTATTCTAATTATCCTATCTTTTTTAAATTGATAATTAAATATTTTATCATATTCATAACGTGACTTAACATGTTATTGGATAAAGGAGATATGTTTGATATAATTTAAATCCTTTACTTATTTCAGTTCGTAGAGAACTACAAATATCCCCTACATAATTTATAATTTATAGAAAAAACCTCTAAAGTTTTAAAAATTACAAACGAACACTCATAATTCAAAATTTATAAAAAAACACCTTGAGAATTTCTAACTCATTAGTAAATTGAAAACATACGAATTATAAATAGTCTATAAACAATTTATAATCTATAGAAAAGACCTATAAGTTTAAAAGATTTGCAAAAAACTCCTAAAATTCATAATTTACAAAAGACACCGTTAGAATTTCTAACTTATAGACACTAAAATAAATATACAGAATTATTAACAACCCCTGGAAAATTAAAAATTTACAAAAAATGTTATGCTCCCTTTAAAATTATAGGTTTAGGAAAAACTTTTTATGATCAATATTACCTATAACGTTTTTGAAAAGAACATAACTAATTGAAAATCTATTAAATTTAAAATTTACAAAAAACCCTTAAAGTTTAGTATATTGCAAATTACCCCTCCAAAGTTTGAAAATTTTCATTGATTTTTTATAATTGCTTAATTTCAATGTAATATTTAATAGTTTTGTGTATTTATAAATTACAAAAATTTAGGGTGTTTTTTATAATTTTTAAAACTTTTGAGGGTATTTCTTTTGTAGTTTTTTAATTTTTCATTGTGTTTTCAATGTAATGCATTGATACGTTAATTAATGATGATATTAACGAGTAAGTCGTTCTTAAGATGTATTATGTCATAGTTAAGTATGCACATCATTATTCCTAGGCAGTACAGTTATATATACAAAAAAGATTCAAACAATCTATATAGTGGCTAAAAGGATTTTAATTTTAATGTACTATTTTTTATAAATTATATTTAATGTGAATCTACCATATAATTTTAATATGTTTGATTGATTGACTATATAGGTATATAGAAATTATATTTAATGTGAATCTACCATATAATTTTAATATGTTTGATTGATTGACTATATAGGTATATAGACCATAGATTACTTTATTTTCTCACATGAACTAATATTAGGTGCTTAATAATTTAAAGTATTACTTCTAAATTTAATATAAAGAGGAGCTCTAATAACAATTATTTATTTACCTAGAGGAGAATACAATATTAATTCCTATTTTTACTTGAGATTTGTTTGATAGTTATGCGTATCAAATTAGTAATTATAATAATAATTATTTATGCTTAAATTAGGATGATTGTAGTTGGTCACTCACTATGGAATTTTTATGAATATATATACCTTACTTTCTATAGCTATCTGCATTGCCCATGTATATTTTATAAATTAGTTGTTAATTTGACATATTAAATTATTTTTTCTTTGTAGAAATTTCTTCTTTGGCTTTTGAATTGTGTAATCACTCTATCACCATTCTAGCGTAGAAATGACATCACTCTAAATGGCTTCAAACTAATATTTGAGTTGAATTGAAGTATATACTATTGCTACTATATGTATATATTTTTAAAAAAATTATGTCAATATTTTTTTTTACAGAAGAGAATATTCTAACATCTGATATTGTAAAAACTAAATATAACAAATTAAGTGATTAGCAAAAAAGAACTTACATCAGAAAAGAGTGAATAATAAGATAAAGAGGAAAGGTAATGGTATTGCCAATAATAATACTAATAGCAAACTACAATGTAAAGTTAACCTATTTTGTGGAGCACAACTATTGGTTATAAACATCGACGTTTTCATATATATATATATATATAATAGTAATATCATTGTAATAATATCATTATTAGGAAAAATTCTTCGTGAACCAGTATGTGCTTTACGATACATAAGTTATGCACTCCAAATTCTTATGTCTTTTATAGAGTGAAAAAGTTTGAATACGAGCATCTAACATTTTGCTCTCACAAGAGCAAAATTCATTTAGCAGATATGGATATTTTAGATAAGTTATATGTACTATATACAATACAATTGCCCCAGGCAAATGAGTTATAATAGTATTTTTCATTCACATCGTTTGGGTCAAGATTTGATAAAGATCTTGCATCAAAGAAAAAAAATTATATTCAGAAGACATGGCTAAATATATCATAATCCCACCGCTCTAATTTTATAAGAAAATAATTATTTATACTTTCAATTTTACTTCTATGATAAGGAGAATGAACTATAAAATTGAATATGAATATTAGATAATATAAATATGAGTGATATCACAACTAAAAGTTAACGTGAATATGAGCTAAACTACTGTTTTCGTCAAAAGTTGGTTTCATTGTGGAATTCATTATATCTTCGGTCGATTACAACAAATTCAAAAGAAATAGTCTTTTTATAAGACTTCTCTTACACAACAAAAGGAAAAAATTACAACTTTTTAGAAACAAACGTAGGATCGTTGTTTGGATCGCTGCTTGCGTGGGATCTTTGCCTGTGCCGGGGGTGCGTTAGCCCGTGGACCACCGATTCACAGATTCTGATTGAATCGTGAAGGTTTTGAGAATTCTTCCTTCGTTTATCGAAGTAAGAATTTAAAGCGAATATCTTATCGATGTAAGATGTTCACTCTTCTAAAGATCAAGTCAGAGCTTAGATCTCTAGGAATCACCAAAAGCTTCTTGAGGATGTTTGTGAAGAAGGAAGACTCTTTCTCTTGCTCCAAATCACCAAAAGCTCAAGCCTTTTCTGCTCTAATATGCCCTCCCCCCTTTATTTCGTGTCTAGGGGGGTATTTATAGGGGTAGCAATGCACAACAGTTAAAATAGAAGCGAAATAACCGACCAGACAAACCATCTTTGGCCGCTGCAGTCGACACTGCCGCGGCTATTGGCGCGGCAGTGTGGGCTGCCGCGGCCAAAGAGACGGTTACCAGCGACGGTTACCAGCACGTTCCATCGTGCTTGAAACCGTTCTCCCACGACCTTTAACCACTTTTTTTGTGGTTTAACTGCTTGTACACGTCAGCACACGTTCCCTTTCTGATATGCCGCCACGTGGGCTTCAAAAAATCACCGTATAACTACTTTATAACTGCCGCAGCACCTCCTATAATAGCCGCGCCGTCATGAGTTGTTGTGCCTAAGGCGCGACACCCTTAACTGCCGTGCCTAAGGCGCGACACTCTTAACTGCCGCGCCTAAGGCGCGACACTTTGAATTGCCGCGCCTAAGGCGCGACACTCTGAACTGTCGCACCTAAGGCATGTCACCCTGGCTTGCTTGTTGGTGTATCGTTGTGTCTACACTGTTCTTTTTTGATGTCTACAGATACCCCCTCCAAAGTATCTCTCTCAGACTCATTATCTTAGAGAGGAGTCTGGGACACTTTGGATATGATAAGCTTTCCTTGCAATTTCATCAATGCTTTGTTGAGGAAGTTGCGTAGAATGGTCTGTGCACGATATCAATTCTTGACTTCTTCATCTTTTAGTCTATTCAGTGTTTTGTAGAATAGCTAAAATTCTTCCGGTACTGTGTTTATCGCGTGGCCGTCGTCGAAGTCTTGAATCAGAATTGCCATCGGGAAATAGTTTAACCTCATATACCCGTTGGGAGGTTCAAGGAGATGCAGTTGCCCGTCGTCGAAGTCTTGAATCAGAACTGTTGTTGAAGAATGGAGAAATAGTTTATACTCATATACTTTATCGGAGTATTCGGGAAATAGTTTAACCTCATATACCCGTTGGGAGGTAATCAGGTTATTCTTAAGAATATTCTGAGTAATATTCTCCAAAAACTTCCTGTTGAGAGTAGGGAAACAGTTTAGACTCGTGTACCTATTGGAGTAACATGGTCTCTTGTTTGTTGGTAGAGATGAACCCAAAATCGGAGAGGAAGAATTTTATATTCTATCTCCTGGTCCCTTGTTTGTTGGTAGAGATGAACCCGATGATGGAGAGGAAGAATTTTATATTCTATCTCCTGGTGCAAAAGAAACTCGAAGTGGGATCTCCACTTAGAGAATCTGGATTGGTTTGAATAATCCTAACTGTCATAAGGTTTGATTATCCAATTCAAAGTTGGACCTTTTGTTCGCAAAATGAATCGAAAGGAGATTTTGACTGCGGTCCTAACTGTAGTAAGGTTTGACCAGGTGGGAGTTTCGAGGTGATCCTAACTGTAGGAAGGTTTGATCACTCGATTTATGGACCTCTCGTTCATGGAATGAGAGGAGATTGTGATTTTGGTCCTAACTGTTTAAAGGTTTGACCGAATGGGGACTTGAGACGATCCTAACTGTTTAAAGGTTTGATCGTTCAATTTGTGGACCTCTCGTTCATGGGAGGAATCGAGAGGGGATTTTGGTTTTGGTCCTAACTGTAGTAAGGT